CAATTTTCTGAATTACAAACTACTGAAATAAAGGAAAGGGGATATAGTTAGGTTATGTGCAATGGTGCTGGAATAGTCCCAGTCTTCTCACATCGGTATTAAGAGACTTCTACTCCTCACTCACAGTCTAGTGAAGTCATAGCTGGTAAAAGGCATATTTTTTTTTAATAACAGAAAATCTTATCTTTATCTTATAAAGAACTCATGTGGTTGTGGATTTCTTTTAAATTTTTGCTTACCATCCTTATTGTTTTCTATTTTGAGTTTCTTATGTGGCTCTGAAAACGAACTAATGTAAATGCATTGAAGTTCAACATGTATACTGTTGGCTAGAAATAAATTAAGATCAGCCTACAGATTCACAGCTTCTGCCATTTGTGGCTGGTTGCTGTGTGGATGAAAAGGAGTTGGCTGAACTGCTGACTGAATAAGGTTTGATATGGTTGGAGGATAATAGTAAAAGAAAATTACTTTCCTAGTCTGTTGAACATGCACCCTAGTGACACCATATGGGGATTTTTTTGATCTCGTAGTTCTTTTGGCTGAATGACTGTTTCTCTATGCATAAAAAACACTAAAGCGTAAGAATTAATCACTTTTTGGGAAGGATTGAGGTCTCTTTTTGCAATCAGTCATAGACACGCTTTTTTGGTAGTGTTACCTTTGTAAAGGGCTATGGCCACGTGCTGTGTGTAGGGATTAAATCTGAGCAGCTTGCAAAAGGTAACCAGTCAGTGATCAGTTTAGGCTGCCGTGTTCCAGATGAGTTTTTCAGTTGGCTTCCAGTTGTGCTTCAGGGTCATGATTTTGCCTGTTCTTGATGGGGGGAAGTTTGCAACTCTCTGCGATCTCCTGCTGAGTGATTAACTTTACGCTGCCTGGCAGCAGTTAAACAAAGTGATCAGAGCGTAACCAGATACCTGTATGGGCGTTGTGTTCAGGCAGTGAAGGACACTGAACTCCATGGTGTTCCCAGGCTTTGTCCTACAAAGTCACAAATGCTCAAATTCCGTTAGTGTTGTCACAAGGGTGAATTGTTTTTTTCTATTACTCTTTTTTTTTAGCTAAGTGTCGGAATGTATTTATGGTGCACTTTTTTGTTTAAGAAAATGTGTACTTTAATTATTATTTAATTATGGTATTGTGTGCTTAATTTAATAGATACTGTAATGATAATATCTGTATTAACTGATATGATAGTCACAATTGTAGCTTCAGAGTGATTACAGTCTTTCAGACTAGTTCCTTGATGTGGATAATTAATTCTGAAGTTTGGATTTATGTTAAATTATCTGTAAATTCAAAAGGAACCATCACAGAAAGTTTTAAAATTTGAATAATAGGGATAAAATAATAGTTTGAACCATGTGCTATTTTCAAATACTCCTATTTTTCTTATGGTCTTGGGCAAGTTGTTTCTAGTTTTCCACTGACTTGTTTGTAAAGTAGTTTCTCCTATGATGGGAGGTCTCTGAAGTACGATTGCTATAGTTAAGACAGTTTAGCTCCTTTGAAATGTAATTACTCTAATTCTTCTGAACTGCATTCTTCTAAAGTGAATTTGATACTTTGTTCTTTCCAAAGCATTTGGAAAATGGGAACTGAAAGTGTTACCAAGAAGAAGTAATCATATTTTCATTTTCCCTTTTGAATACTATAGCTGGACATAAACCCCAGAGTGCAAGTTTTTGGGGCAAGAGGGAGAGAGTTTTGCTTTGCACTGTACAAATTAAAATATTAACATTAACCATAGGGATTGCAGAATTGGATATTTATTCATGAGGAAGAAAAGCTTAATCTCAAAGACCAAGTTTTTATAATGGAGGGATGTTCTCAATAATTGCCGATATGCATGAGCACCCTTGCATTTGGATACCGCCTACAGCAATCTGAAATACAGAGATGGGAAGTTTTCAGGAGGGCAGTATTTCATATCAGCAGTTCCATTTTCATGAAAAGTTAATCCCTTTTAAAACAGCATGAGTTGTAATGCTTCTGAGACTAGAAGCAATGTCGATTTTAACGTTTAACCCCTAGTTTTGGATAAGGGGACTTGAAGTGTAGAGAAGCCTAATGGTGGTGTGACATGGAACTCGTTTTATCATGCAAATTTTTCTGCATCAGTTTTGAAAAGCTTTAATAAAAATTAAGTCACAGCCTTTCAAGGTATGGGTTCCCTTTCAGTTCTGCTTTGCTGTCTTTTTTGCTCAGATTAGTCTGTGGTCTTGGTCTGTGTCACTTGCTCCCTGCCCTCAGACAAATCCCCAGATGGCGGGACCTTCAAGTTAGTTGACCTATTCCCAAGCCACTATTTCTGTGGACTGTATGAAAATGGTTACAGACAGAGACCTTTCGTTTGCTTGGCTATCACCACCATGGCTGGTCTTTTGCCTCAGACCAGAGCTGTGTGGTTTGTTGTTGTTTGGATTTGTTTTCAAACTTAATCATGCTTACTTCGCTCTTGTAAAAAAATGTGTTGATACACGATCTGTCAGAAACGGATTTATGAAAACTTTCATGCTGTGTAATGCTATATAATTTATTGAAATGTGTTCAGAGTTCACTAGAGTTTGCCTGTATAGTCGACATGAAATAGAAAAACTTCCCCCTGTCTCAAGTGTTTCATAAGAACATGGGTCTTTAGGGAGCGAACAGTATACTTACCTATTGCACACACCATTTGATATTATTTATTGAATTCTTACAAGTAGGCAAATAGCTACTAAAGAACTTACTGTTTTGTTTTTTTTCCTTTGGACACTTTATTGAATAACCAGAATTGTGTGTTTCGTCAGGTTGCATTGGCTGACTTAGTATTGAAGTTCTGAATATATTTATTTCTTTCTCAAAATATCTTGAGATTACTATTGAATGGGAAATATTATTAGCTAAAACACCACTTTTGGAAAGTGCTTTAATCAGCTATTATGTTTGCATAATAAGAACAGTTAACTTTGAAAAAGCATTCATATAGACTTGCATTTCTGCCAGAGCAAGGGAATGGTATTTAAAGGAGGCTGTGTTTATGATTCCAGAGCTGTTGTTAAAAAAAAAAAATAGTACATTTTGTCAGATCTAGAATATATCTTTGGAATTCTTTATACTTGACACCTATTTATTTTAGCTAAGTATTTTATTATTCCTATTTTTTGCTCATTGTTCACAAAACCTAGTGTTCTAGGACTGTCGGCTCAGTAAGTCTACCTTCTTTTCCCATATGACATAATACCTTAAGTTGCTGGATTGTTTGGTTTTGGGTTTTAACATCTTTCATAATTTCTTGTTTGCATCTTAAAATCCTGCGTGGAGTGGCTGCCTGAGGCTGCAATGACAGCTGGCAGTGGCGGGGGTGCTCAGCGGTGCTGTTGAAGGCAGTGTGTGCCAAGCTGCACACCCGATCTCTGCAGTGACCTTCGATCTGTGACGGTCTGAGTAATGGGATGCAATGCTTTGCATCTGTAGAACTAGTTCAAGGGTAGCTGTGTCAGTGGGGTCCTGTGCCCAGTTAAGTAGATGTGCCAGAAGGATACAATGCAGTGCTGTAGTGGCTACATTGTTTTGGGATTCTAGCTGATAGTTGTGCATGGGATTGTTCTGTGCTGCGTAGTTTTAAACATGTCCATAGTTTAAAAGCCATGATCAGTTTGAAATGTCCAGAGGTGGTTTTGGTTCTGCAGACAATATAATTTTGTCTTCACAGTCTCAGTAAGCGATCTGAGTTATGGAGTTAATACTTTGCAGTGAATGTAAGTCTTCTGCGTAGATAAGAGAACCATGTATAAGAGGGAATGGGCAGTTATTATTTACTCTTTAAAATTTGGACTAATTAATGAAATCAAAAGCAATTTCTGTGAGATAAGGTATGATCTTATTACCTGTGAAGTTACACATTTTTTGGTTCTGCATCTTGAACTGAGTTCTTCTAAATGACTAATTCATGAAAATAAAAAACTGCTCAGTGGGGAGCAAAGAAGGAATCTGAATTATCATGTCAGTAGATCCTGGTGAATTCTTCTGCTTAGGAAGCAGAGATGTCCACTTCTGAAGTTATTCTTAAAATTGATGGTGAACAGTTCTTGCGAGCTGTCAATGCAGTATTTGGCCTAATTTTAGTAATGGGAACTTTTTACATTTTCTTTAGCCCTTGAAAAGTTTTGGGTGGTGTCCCTCTCTCATCCCAAGTACAGATTCATAAGTTATGTTTTAAAATATTATGATATGAGGCTATTTCATTTCAACTTTCATAGATGAATAAAAGTTTGTTTTAGAAGAGGAGGGTCCAATCTTATGTTGGCTGTTAAGATTTGCATCTGAATTGATGAATATTTTGGGGGTAGTTGTAAAGCTTATTGTAAGTTACTGTCCTTCCCATTTATCTGTAGAAAACTATCTGTGCAGAATGAGAATGTATTTGTCTTCACCAGTTCCAAAATAATTTATATCACCTCAAAGTAACCCATTTTTTTAGTTTCAGCTGCAGAAGGTTCTGGGGAAAAGAGACACTTCAAACCTGTAGCCTAAACATGCTTGGTCTTGCTTCCTTAGAAATCAGTCTTGCACCAAATCCCAAACCAAAGTGGAACATTTTATCTGCTTGGGAATTTTCCAGGCATGGGATACGAGCATGGTGTTTTCACAGTGGTAGACAGTATCCTGGAATTTCAGGAAATATCCTCCAGAATTTTCTGTAGATATATTTGCAGTTGTTTGCAGATATTATCTCTGTTTTCAGAGAGTAATAGATACAGGTTAATGAAGTTTCTTTATACAGAAGTTTTTGTTTGGGATTTATAAAGTCTTTATTAAAAGAAAACTTGCTTTTATTATGAAAGTATAATTTATACATAAAAACAGATTGGCTTTTCAGCTTCTTGATCCAGACCAAATTAAAATATTTCATTAAACTTGTACTGATTGGTATAATATAAGTTAGAGCTAAACATATTCTTCTCTTTTTTTTTTCTTTTTTTCTTTTTTTTTTTGTGTATGTGTGTGTACAGAAAAGATGAAAAGGAGTATGCACTGAAGCAAATTGAAGGTACAGGGATTTCCATGTCGGCCTGTAGAGAGATTGCAGTAAGTGTATATAAATGAAAGTATTTTTACTGACGTTATTACTCAACAGATATTTTATTTTCCTCACATTAAGTAACATAAAGATTATCTAAATGTTTTCTTTAAAGTATGCAAGCATGAAAGTTTATTCAGATGTGAGCTTTTTTTAAATGCTTTCTAAGTCATAATTTTCGTTTTAGTGGAAAGGAGTGTTCTTTCCAGGTAATAGTAATGCTTCTTTCTGGTATAATTTGTTTCTTCTGCTTTAATATGTTGAGAGGGAAATAAATGTGAACTTTTAAATGAAGTCTTATTTTAAAAAGGAATGTTTTTAAAATGACTTGAAGGAAAAAGGTTCTGAGAGATTACAGCTACCATTACAATTCCACTTGCTGAAAATGTAATTTATTTCAGACTAATGGCAGCTTGTTCTTCTGTAGCACTCGAGAACAGTTTGTTCTCCTCATTTCTTATTTGTTTTGCTAAGTACAGAGAAATTTTGTAGCAAAATAAAAACCAGCTTTAATTGTATTTTTATTACATGCATCTTAGGAGAAAAAATGGATTCAGAAACTTCACACTTAGAAACACATTAATGCCTATCATTTCTTCAAATTTGGTAAAAATTAAGTGTTTGTATATGAAGGTAGAATTTGATCTTTAAATGTTTTATTTTATGTCTGAAAACATGTATTACTGTCAAAACACTGGTACCAAGTAAAATTTTGCAAGAATTTCTTGCATTGCAAAACAAGTGCACTTGCTTGATTAAATATTTACCTTGTCTTAATGTTGTTGCTGTGCTGCCAGCTGATGAAATGTGTGTTAGGATTGTGACTAAAGCTTTTTATAATCTAGCAATGTTGCATTGAAACACAGCATTCAGGTGTGCAATGCAACGTGAGGCATTAGAAATGCATGATGTCCATGAACTGAACAAAGCGCTGTATTGGGTTTAGTACAGTGTCCATGGTAATTCTGTATGAAGAGACTTAACAGATAAAACTGCTATCCTTTTAAAGTGCTTATCACTGCAAGGTCAAGGTCACTTGTGGACTTGAGAGGCGGCTGCATTACTGTCAGTCACTTTACACAGGATTTACCCAGTGACCTTTCTTGCTATTGTTTCTGCCTTTGGAGGAAATAAGAAATCCCCTTTTAACATCAGTACTGGATTATATTCTTGCTGCTATAAAATCGGTTTTGACAGTATTGAGGGTTTTTTGTTTCTTGGATTGTTGTCCTTTGTTTTAAATTGTGCTACTGTGGAGATGATGTGTGGAATAGTCTGAAGGAAACTTTCCTGTTGCCATGATAGGGCTGTGGTATGGAGCTGGTTCTGTCATACCTGGACACAACAGTGTAAGGAAGTAAAGAGTGTCCAATTATTTAACTTTGATGATACATAACCATTTTTGTCTTGTTTTTCTGTTTTTTAAACTGTTTTTTAAAATGAGTAAACCCTTGTACAAAGCACACTACAGCCTGTGAATTTTAACTTCTGTTGTGTAAGTTACTTGACTACTTTCAATGGTTCATCTGGTAATTCTTCCTTGAATTTTACTTTACTCTTCTTCAGACCTTAAACTGTAAAACTCTGTAACCTGAGCTAATGGAGCAAATCACCATTTGCCTCAGTGAAATTTCAGGTGGATCAAATATTAGAAATGTGAAAAAGGTAAAGCTGAAATAGTTGAAAAAGAAATACAAACTTTTTGTCATATAGAAACAAGCCAGAATCAAATGCATTTTCCATAAAGAGAAACAGACTTCTAATTAATGCATCAATAGCTTATCTTGTATTTAAAGGCTTAGATAGGTGACAAAGAGGGTAATGTTTACTGATTAAATAAAGATTTTCAGCCTGGAAAGAGGCCATTTAAAAATGTCATGAATAGTTCTTTGAACATTCAACCCACCCCTACCCTCACCAGTAGCAAAACAACCCCAAACCCCACCTTGGAAGCCGAGAACATGAGAGGGCCACTGGTGTGTGTTCAGAATATTTTAATAATTCTGTAAACTGAAGACACTTTACAATATGCTCAAACAATATATTGCTGACCTAAAAGGCGTTCAGTTTTGCAGTCGAAGACCATTTTGTATGTCCTATTTCTTAGATACTGAATATCTACTGGCTAACTTTCCCTAAGACAGAAGGCAGATGACTCCTCTGTTCTGACATTACAAATTCAGTTGATCTGTCTTTGCTTAGGACTTTGAGAACCATGGAGCTTCCCTTACCACCATTCATATGAGCTTTTCCTGGAAGAAGGCGTATGGCAGTGAAAGCATCATTTAGGCAGTGGTTCCTGGGGCAAGTGATTGTTACTTTATTTCAACTGTAGGATGATACCTGCTGAAGGATTCCATTTTTCAGCCAATTCTGTTGTCTTGAATATGAAAGTATTAGAAGGTATTCTTACACATCAAAAGACGTGTGTGTGGGAAAAAAACTAATTAGTTCCCTGCAACTCAAGTCTATTCTGAAGATAACTGAAATGGCAGCTATTTCCGTGTTACTGTTATGAGACAGATTATTGCTTGGGTTAAGCAACAGCATTTTTTGAAGAGCAGCGCCGTAAAATATGAATGAGAGTTATGAAATACAGAGTTTCATTTTTAGATGGTTATTTAGTTAATGAAAGTGACATCTCTTTCAGCTGAAGACTTGAATTAACTAATTTTGGAACTTGATGTTGGGGAAAGGGAAGACTTTTATTCGCTTATGCTGCTTTTGTATTTTATGTTTTGCTCCTTACCTTGTCTAAGTAGGTTTTTTAGAACAACAAGTGGAGACAGAAGCAGCAGACCAGAGGGGTATTATTTGTTAGGGCTGTTTTTTTTTTTTTCTGTGCAGTATCCTGTGTTTCATTTGTTCTGTTAATAACAAATAACTATAACTTTAAAAGTCTGCAAACAGCTAATGGTAATGGAATTTTGTACTTCTCTATCAAAAATATAGGGTAATACAGCTTTATCTGAGATTTCTTGTCCCAAAGGCTTTACGTCCTGTGAGAGTATTATCCAAATTAATTCAAGTACTTTACTTGCGCCATGGAGAGACTATAGACTTCTGATTGTGGATTTTGGGAAAAACTAATTCAGAAAAAAGAAAAATAGTAAACCTTTTCTTAATTAGTGCCATTCACTAAGTACTTAATAAATATCTGGATATGTAACCTGTCCTTGAGCATGGAAGAACTTCAGCGCAATTGTTTTATTGGCTTATTTAGCTGATACGATGCAGGTCAGAATCCTAAGTGAATGGAGCATGTAAAAAAGCAGGATCACAACCCTGAACTTTATGAAAGCAGACTTGAACCTCTTCAGATGTCATCTTGGAAGAATTCTGTTGAGTTATAGCCCTGGAGAGAAGAGGATAGAGGAAAACATGCTGGTATTCAAAGATCAGACACAAGGAAGTTGCATCCCAAGAAGTAGGCAAGCAAGCAAGGGCAGCAGGAGGCCTGCATGGATGAACAAGGAGCTCCTTATTGAATTTGGACATAAAAAGGAATCAGGGATTCCTTTTGGAAGCAGGGATTTGTAACACAAGAGAAGTATAGAATTGCTGTTTGATCTTGCAAGAATAGGGGTTAGAAAAGCCAAGGCTGATGTGGAGTTGAGTCTGGCAAGGGACCTGAAGGGCAACAAGAAAGGATTGTACAAGTGCATGAATATCAAAAGGAAGACTAAGGAAAATATGAGCCTGCTGCTGAATGGGTACAGTTGGTATTGAAAAGGCCAAAGTACTCAGTAACTTTTCTGCCTCATTCTTTACCAGTGAGACCAACCTTCAGAAGTCTCATGCTCTTGAGAGCAGAGAATAAGTTGAAGAAGGAAGACTTATCTTTGGTGGAGGAGGTCCAGGTTAGGAAGCATTCGAACTGGGCAAACACAAGTCTGTGGTGCCTGATGAGATGTGCCCACAAGTGCTGAGGCAGCTACTTGGATTTCATTTTGAGACCATCCTCAGTTATCTTAGAAAGATAACCAAGTGGATAGAAGAGAGCAAATGTCACTCCTGTTTCCAGGGAGAATCAGGGAAACTACAAGTTGGTCAGCTGCATCTTAGTCACTGGGAGGGTGATGAAGAAAATCCTGGGGGAAACCATTTCCAAACACATGCAGGACAAGGCAGTGATTGGGCATAGTCAGCATGGACTTTTGAAGGGCAAATCATCCATAACCAATCTGTTAGTCTTCTACCATGAGATGCCTGGCATGGTGAATCAGGTGAATGCTGTAGATTGTTTATCTTGACTCTCCTAAGGGTTCTGAGGCTGTCTCCCCGTAACATTCTTGCAAACAAGCTAACACAACCTGTAGACAAAGATGACTACTACTAAAGGTTTTGTGTGAACCAGTGGCTTGAATTAGGTCCTGGATGCTGTTTGGTCAACTCCTGGTCCTTTCCAGCTTTTTACCCACCCTCACCAATGAGAACTTCCCCTCTTCCAAGGATAAATTACCATCTGTAGCCATCTGCTCTGTAAATAGCAATCTTAATTCTAAACTTCATTTGATTGTTCTATATTAGGGTGTTTTTATAGATAACTTTTTTTTTAATACAGGGGAAGAAAATGAGACTAGGCTGTTGTAGATTATTTAAATGGGAGAAGTAGAGCCAAAAACCAGCAGCACTGCCAACCTAACCTTTTTTAAGGAGTACCCTAAGTCCTTCAGTTTTGCCCTGTTTGAATGTTGGGTCTCGGACTTGTAATCATTTTAATTTCCACATCCTGTGCCTGTGTATGCTATTTTTTAATGAAGGCTGCTCCTCTTGGAGACCTTTAAATGTTGCCAGTATGCTGTGGGACACTAGTGGGACCTTTGTGTTCATACTTGCATTTATGGGTACAGGTTAAAATAAATTCAGACTGTAATGTTAAATGAGTTGCTGAAATCTTACTCAAACAATTTAGCGTGCACAATTTATTCTCAGACCTTTGTAACAGTGTAGGTTACAAAGTGCTAGAGGGTACAAATATTTTGGCATCCCCAGTTTCTGAGGGTGG